ATGGACAGCGGCAACTTTGCTGGAGGGAAGAACTGCCCATTCCCATTATAAACTTCCAGCGTCGATTGCGGGTAATTCAGCTTGCAATGCCCATCTCCAAGGCCAGGAAGCAAATGAATTGAGGTCTTGCAGACTCTTCACATGTCATGTAGCACTCATGACTCCGTCCTACGCCATCAACGCCCTCGACAGGATGGTTCGCAACTTCATGAAACGCCTTTCGGCGGCAAACTCCTAGTTCTGCGTCGAAACTCCAGACAGGTTCTTCACGTCGGCAATAAGTGCTTGCCGCCGTATGTAGCTCTCTCTGGCCACTATTCATGATCATGGAACTATCGATGAACACGAGAGCGGAACGTGAGCAGAAGGAGTTCTCAGAATGGTTGTCGTTTCTCGGAGAAGGTCGTCTCCGATTTTGAAATTCATGATGTTACGTATCTCATTTACGTCGCTTTCTGACTAAAACTCGTGGAACTACGACATCTACGATCGTATAGCGATGGGGCCAAGTCATTGGCTCGGCGGTAGCGTGTTGGGTTTCTGTGACAGGGGGTCACTGTTCGACGATGTGGCAAACTTTTATTTCCTGGTGTTCCTTGGATCAGGAGGCCCACCAAGCCTTTGCCGTCTACCCAAGTGAGACGCTGATATGGGCGTTGTATATGAGAAGCCACGGGTGGTACGGAACAACACATCTGTTGTCCAACTCGTGTTGACCGACTCGGGCTACTCTCCCGTTGTCACTCCTGCGGTAGCGCAGATAGTCGCCGGATATTTATGTGTCTCCGCGACACAATTTTTAGGAAACTCCTCGCAGGTTTTTCTCAATGCAGGTCATTCCATCTCAAATCAGCCAGAAGCCGGAGCATGACCCCTCTGATATTGACAAAAATCTATTATGTGATACCCCTCATGGTCAAAAGTAAGAATGCAACATTTTGGCTTCGGGTATGGAGCCATTTTGGCACAATAATTCGTTAAACATTGCGAAATATGAAAGAAGGGGCACCTCTTCATNCTAGCACAAAACCACGGGCTTAGCTCAGCCTCATTACGCTAGTACACGTTGTAGCTCCTTCGTTTTAGTCGCATACAGACGAAAATGGGACCTGCAACTTTCCGAGGTTCTAGAATTTCCATCGATACCGGATTCGTTCGGATCCGTTAAGCGGGAGAGGAGGAGTTTCTGGACAGTCAAACAATGGTATTATTATATTGGTTCAGATTTGCACATATTTAACGATTACATGCCTTCACATATTATTAGACATCTTGAAGAATAGTCTTATAAATTCCCGGAAATTTTCAAAATAGATTCCAAAAGTTGCATGAAGAGGCTAGATTATTATCTACCTTGTTTTACATTTTCTACTTATATTTTAGGCGTTGAAGATTCACGTCCTAGATGAATTCATTCATCTAGGACGCGAATTAGTCATTTCCATAAAAGAGGATTCAGCAAACATTATTTTTCATTATTCATCAAAAATGCCATTAACGTCTTGGATACGTTCTTTTCATCTCTTGAATTGCATTCAGCTAGAAGTAAGCCTTCTTCCCGTAGCAATGGTCAGAATGTTCATTCTTCAGGATGTCAGTAATCGATGATGCTGAGGTGAATGACATTGCCTCATCCCCTAGTCACCCTGAAATGAGGACATCCAAATGGAAAACTTTTGTTCCGAAGAAGATTCGTATTCTTTATTGCTGAGATAAAGCAGAAGGAAACAGGAAAAGCTTGACGCGATCCGGACCTAACAATGTGCTCATCTTGTATCATCACAGAATGCAACATGGATGGATTTCAACATGGATACCATTCATCAATACCTCCCTTTTGTTTCGGTTTCAATTTCGAAAGGACTTTTCGAAGTACGTCATCGCATCTTCGATCCACCGCACAAACCTAAAGGGGTGAGCGAGATTATTCGGATTACTCTGACAATTGATGAGAACGCTACCAGAAATATTAGGGAGACAGAATAGAGGGGAAGAATAGCGCTCTCACGAATAGACTCGAGTGAAAACCCCAAACTGCCCGGGGGTCCTCTCGGAGTACGACTCTCCTTCGCCGTGACAGTGACTCACGATCCCGATCACAGTCCATTTATTGCCCTTAGAAGCGGGGGAAGGGAGGATCATGGGGCTTCCGGAATCTCCAGGACATACCGTCTGGTAATCTGCATGGTAAATCCCATCATAATCATCGAGGTAGACATCATAAGTAGGAAGTCACGAAAAAAAAAAGATGAATGGTTGAAGAATACCAATGCAGTATCAGAGTACTTGAAAAGTTTATTTTGTCGTCATCCCTTTAGGTTAGCTGCACAATGTGTGCATAAATTATCGGAATAATTTTGTGATTTCGCTGTTTCGAAACTACAAATGCGAGAACATTAGAACTTTTCACACTTGTTGGAAATATGATCAAGATTTTGGACACAAAGTTTAAAAAATTTTCAATATGACTTCCACCATTCACGACAAATGTGGAATCGGTACACGATCTCGCTCCATACTCGGAAGAGCATGTCTGGTGACAGCTGCCTCAACTCAAAACTTCCTCATGTCGCAGCAAATTGTTTATTGCGCTGGGTCAAATCAGTCGGTAATATTTATTGAAGAATAAATATCTAGGAGCTGTGTAAGGCCAGACTTTTTCCTAACATCTGACCATGTGATTTTGGTGCAGAAAGGCCGTGGCTCGCCCGCTGGACCCTTTACAGGGACTCCTTGAAAAAGTCCTTGAAAAGGCCTTTCGAATCGCCTTCAGTCTTTGCATTGAAGCTCGGTCGCTCAACTGCGTTCCTTTGACACAGACATCCAGTCCCCAGAAATGCATTGTGTCACTCGTAAATGGAGGTTCTCGAGGGAAGAACTTTGTTAAACTCAGTTTTGAACTTCCTCTGTACTGTTGTTTCACGTTTTTTCTCATTAAACCACGGAACGCAACGAGACTTTTTGCTGGACGGAAGCTATTAGAACAGGTTGGGCAAGCCTGGGCCAGTATTGGATATCCTTTCAGTTAAGAAAACCCTCATTTTGTCACCGAATTGAACAAAATGCCATCTCTTTCCGGTCTTCGACAATGAAAAACCTACTTTCTCATTTATATTTGGTAAACATAGACAAACGGTGCCCATGAAAAGGTGATGAGAGGATGGAGGGCTGTGCGTGGTTGAATCCATCCACCACGACGGTTGGTAGGGTACTGACAGCTCTAGTTGCTGATACGGCGTCGAGCCCAAAGCCTGGGTCGTACTCGCATGCGCATTGAGGTCCAGAACCTGAAGGGCAAACGGGTACGAGTGCTTTCCCCTCCCCTCCTTAAATCCAAAATTTGGAATAAAAATGCCCAATTTTGGTGCAAATTCGCCACAAAACGAATTCAGCCTGTAACTTGTTCATATCTATCCGCTTGCCAATTTTCGCATTGATAGGGGCCAATATTTTAAAAATTATCATTGGACAACCAAAGTGTGACACACGGACACACAGGCGGAAAGGACGGTACCGTAAGTGGCCTCTTTCCTTTCAGGAAAGGAGGTCCTCTAAAAAACCAACGATACGCGCGCAACTTAAATGGTTCAGGGCTACTACATACCAATAAAAGCTTAGTCATATTCCAGTCATATTAAACAAGCCAAGTTCTTTCTCTTTTTCGGTTTGGAGACGGCAACGTCACAAAATAGTTCAGATAATTAATGGACGCCATATTTCTCAAAGGCAAGCCGTATCTGTAGAGATACACGTATGTCATTTCTTAATGTCATTTTCCAGCTTGCGCTGCGTAATTGCAGAGTGGAAGCACGATTAAGTCTATTGTTCCTGTTATATAATGTATGTGGGCGAACTAATATCATTAAAGTCTTGCAATACGTCTATAGAAGTGAGCAGTTCCTTGCCACTAGACCATTCAGAATGGGGTGAGAGACAGCGTGGAATTGAAGCAAAACTGGTAAGGGAACCCTCAATGTTCTCTAAGACTATACCATTAAGAGGGTTCTTGGACAAAATGTAGCCAGACACAATGTCGCGGACAAAATGCCGCCGGACAAAATATCGCCAGGACAAGATGTCGCGGAATAATTTTTTTTGACATATGTAAACGAGACATACTATCGCTTGGCAAAATATTCTGCTTACGTAATTAAGTATGCGTGACGACCATGTTGAAATCGTGTGTAGAGGTCAAGAAATGGACCCAAGCGTGACCCACTAGCATTTCAGAAGAACCATGTCAACGAACATGCAGCTAACGTGATAACCATCAGTAGACAATAGGTCATTGAAACCATTTCAGGAATCCTGTACATTCCCACGCCTCTTATTTTCGGCAAGTGATTTGGAAGATGAATTTGATTGTTTTCTTTGAAGGGTTGATATACTGTATATATTGACATTGTTTCGTGAGGGGGAGGGAAGAAACCCAAGGAAATATATTAATTTCCATCTTTATCCGACCCCCTTACAAGTCCTCCTCACCCCTAATCCTCCTGTTTTAACTATGCCTGATGAATGAGACTCCTACTCCTCCGCTGAGATGCCCCTGAGGTGAAAGGTTATTCAAAATAGATAAAAGAAACCAAATAGCAGTGCCGCTTTGATAGACGAAGAGCCACACCCCGACTTCCCATTCCATTATGGAACCAATACCACTGTGTTCTGGAGACCCTATCAAGAAGCAACGACACACTGGAAGGATGGCACCAAGCATTCAATCACTCTATTGGGACCGCCCATCCGTCAGAAGCTCAGAAGCTTCAGAAGAGCAACATTTGCACGCAGTAAAAAATCAGCAGTATCAGATGGGATTACCACCTACGAAGAAAGGGAAGAAGTATCAACGAATAAATGAGGCTCTCGGCACAATGGTAGCAGACTCTGCAAATCGGGACGTTGTTCACTTTTTGTCTGACGTTGGAAGCGTCGTCAATATTAATGTTCTGTGATTGAACTTCATCTGTCATGTGACTTCCCTTTTTGGACTTCTTATTTTGGATGAATAATATTAGCTTGTACTCGGTACTCAGCTTTTTCCTGAAGGAAACTTCCTCCCAATGCCTATCCCAGTTCAACCTCCAGTCATATGCGTATGAAATACCAGAACCACTATTTTTTCAGTGGAGACATATTTTCCTGGCGACAGGCTAAAGACATTATGTCCGCGATATTTTGTCCGGCGACAATTTGTCTTCTCCCGCTTTAAGGGCAGTATTTGTGTGATGACCGGCGCAGAACATGTTTGACGTGATTCCTCCTGCGAAGTCGAGTTTTCCTGTTCGCTGAATATCGTATAGACGACAAAGGTGATTGGAAATGATCGAGAGTTCCACCTCCGTCAGGACGGACGGATAATCAGAGCCATTCAAACCCCAATCAGTAACCTGCATCGTAAAAAATCAGCGAACAAATGCATTAATGAGATTTCTCTAGGAAACACTGTTTGAGCATATATCACTATTATGTCTCACCAATCCTTTCAATCCGTTTTGGATAAAAGAGAGATGATTTCGGGTCGGGAGGCATATCAACTGTACACGTGGGGTCAAAACGAAAGGTTCTGTCAATTTCAAAAGGGCAATGTCCGCGTCATAGTTGTGCAAGTTGAATTCCTCGTGCTTGATGATTGCAGACACCTGCGAAGAAAGGGTACGAGCTCATCATGGGGGAAATCGGTTGGACGATGTGTGAGTATTTTTTGCAAACCGAACCTTTTTGATCTGCACCGATTCATCGTCCTTGGAATTATCTCGAAAATGCTTCCCAAGGTAGACTAGAAAATCCATGGACTCCCGGGCATTGACGGTTCCAACGACAGTGATACAATGAGCGGCAGTCAACACCCATTGCTTCCGGATGAGAGCCCCTCCGCAAATGAGATCTTTCCTCTTCACATCATAAATGGCAGCCTGCCAGGGCCACGCTCCTATGGTCGACGAATTCCCGCCTCTTATCAGCGGCTGTTGTACCGTCCTCCTTCCACATTCTAGGTGAAGCACAAGTTGATTATATCATTCGAGAAATACCCAAGGTCGTTCTGATACCTTGGAGAATGTAGCAAAATTCGGCCCTTAAGGCATTACGGCATGCATCGCGTCTCTGTAATCCCAGGATTTAGTCTGAAAATGTGGTTCTTTCGGATCGTGTTATTGCCAGCAAGAAAGACATGGGCTGCTCGTGATATTCAGCAATAGCAAATCACGAGCTGCCCTCTCAAAATATGGGGTTTCAATAGGCACAATGCCAAAAGAAGTGTCTTAAATTCGGAGAAATCGCCTTCACCGGCTCTCATAATCACCTGAAGTAATAATGGATCAAAACTATTATCTCTTTTTCTTTCAGTGACCAAGAGTACCCTTTCGCCCAAAGTTACCAAAAAATACCAGAAGTCCTGTTATTCCAAACCATTCCGAAATGGTTCTGATTTATCGAGTTCGATTCCAGGGTGCACAAATTGACCCATTTACTCGTCACAATTTACTGTCAATGTATACCTAAAATTCATGAAATACTCGTATACATATTAACATTTAAAGAGATTGCCTGATCTCAGTTTTTAGAATAGGTATGCTCAATGAGTGCGAATGGGTAACTCATTGTTACTTTGGATCGGTTTAGGACGATTTTAATTCCCTCTAGCTCAAATTGGATCACCGAAGGTCACTCTAGAACATTCAAGTCAAGCAGAGCCACTCTAGATCTACATTAGCTTCTCTGGATTAATTTCAGTAAAATGGGTCTTCGTTTGATGATTAAGCTCAATCTTTGTCAATGGACACTTTGGGAAATTCCAAGTCACTCTGAGTCATGAAGACCTATTTTTGTGATTAAGATTACTCTGGGAATATTGACCAATTCCGATTGGCTGGTGAGTTGCAACTATTCCTGACAGAAAATGATCCCTGTGCTATGCTCTCACGATTCTCGACGTTCCTTACACCTCTTTAAGCAGGTGAACTAAGGTATTGGTTTTAGGACTGCCGTTTTACCATATATTGACATGTTGAAAGTCCGCAGATTCATTCCACACCGCAAAAACGATATGTTGAATAGCTCAACAAACAGGACTATGGATATGAACATATAAGCTAAAATTGCAAAAAAAGGGATATTCTATTCTCTGAAACATCTTTTATCAGTTAGTTTTGCATGGTTTAGGATATGAGAAGTTACAAACGGACTCCTTGAGAGAGGATATTTTCTTAATTCAGAAAAATAATTTTTTCTGGGACATTACACAACCAAAAGTAATGTGACTTGATGTGACATTACAATAGCAACAGCCAAATAGAACGTCTTAGAACGATGTTCTATTTTTAAGGCAATAACAATGAAAGAGTATCACGGACAGGAGTACGTGCCAGTACCATGATTCAACCCAATGCGCCTACCCTCATACAGATGCCCTGCTAATTGTCACAAAATGGCTATAATTTTCCGCTCCTGTGCGTCCCATTGCACCTAAAGGATAAGTCTAATAGTCATTGAGCAGCAAGCCGTTATCAGATTCTTGTCAAATTGGATGGGTTGGGGGGAGGGGGGCACCCCAACAGAATTCATGAGGCTCGCGAAAGCCTCTAAAGACAATACCTTGTCAAGGTAGGCAGTTTAGAATTTCTTATTATTGGTCAATGGAGAATCCGTCATGAAGAACATACTGAACACACAGAAATTTTCATATACTAAATACATTTGCATACTAGAGCCACTTGTGATTGAAGCCCGTCCCCTTTCTTTTGGGCCGAGTTACAGAAATTTTCCGAAATTCGGCTGATGGTTACAGCACAAATTCCTCTCTTTGTATATAGTCGGTTTTCGGGTAATCGTCCGAACCTGGACTGGAGCGAGAGGATCACTTCTCCATGCATCCAGTCAAATTTGGGACAAATTGTCTACATTCTCTTGAAACTAAAGCATTTCACCGTTTTCACTATAGGATTTTAATAATTTACGAGCATACGTATTACTGAATTAAATATGTAAATGCTTTCATTTTACCAAGGTTTCACACTCATTCTGCAGGAAGGGAAGGGACTAGGGATAATCAGATGAAGCGAATCAATGTCGGAGGTAGTCTGAGATCCATTTCCTGCCAAGCTGGATTTATTGGAAGCGTGATGTGGCCGTCAGCGATTATTGATGACATTTAGTGGAGGGAAATCGGGTATGTTCTCGCATTAAGTTGCATCATTTCGTCCAAGCACAATAATATGGAGAAAATGCCATTCACGTGGAAAACTTGGCTCTGTACTAACATTGTTTTTCCATAAATGAAACCTCAAAATTGAAAAGAATCTCGTTAGATGTTACTTTCTTAATTTCAGGTGAATTTCATCTCATCATTCACGAGCATATGAAATAAATGTCTGCCTAGTGTATTTCACA